GAATTTCGTGCACCGGGCCTCTAGTAGTAAATATTTGTCCTTTCCTTGATTTGTTTTGTTTTGGTGATGGGATAGTGATCAATAGGAGTTAATCATTGTACTAAAACATAAATGACCTCTCCAAGATCAAGATTATAAAGGGGAGAACAGTAATTGTATGGTAAAAAAAAAGTTGCCCTGGTTTAAATACTGTGCCATTATTGTTTGGATTTGGGCTTTAAGGTGTTCAGGATGGAAAACAGCAAATCATTAGCATGTTTTCTACCTGTTCTTCTTGTAATAGATAACACGTTTACAAGTTTAAGAATTTGTCTTGGAGCTATAAAACAGCAACATTAGTGAGCTTATGCAAAAAACCAACCCACTGTAATGACCTCATTAACTAAGATAACTTTTCCATACCTAGCAAGCATAGAGTGAAATAGTCATTAATCAGTAACTATTAGTTGAATGAATGGATGAAATTGACTTAGCTAGTCAATAGATTCTTACCACCCCTGGGAAACCATTAAACACACACACACACACACACACACAGAGCCAAGCCAGTGTGGCTCAGTGGTTGAGCTTTGACCTATGAACTAGGACAGTGGTCGGCAAACTGCGGCTCGAGAGCCACATGCGGCTCTTTGGCCCCTTGAGTGTGGCTCTTCCACAAAATACCACGTGCAGGCACGCACGTACAGTCCGATTGAAACTTCATGGCCCATGCGCAGAAGTTGGTATTTTGTGGAAGAGCCACACTCAAGGGGCCAAAGAGCCGCATGTGGCTCTCGAGCCGCAGTTTGCCGTTGATTCCCAGTCAGGGCACATTCCCAGGTTGTGGGCTTCATCCTCAGTGTGGGGGCGTGCAAGAAGCAGCCAATCAGTGATTCTCTCTCATCATTGACATTTCTAGCTCTCCCTCTCCCTTCCTCTCTGAAATCAATAAAATATATTTTAAAAAAATAACACACAGAGGAAGAACTTTAGTACATAATGTTCTAGGGCCTTTTCTATGTCTTTCCTCTGGATTTCATGCAGCAGTTGCCTCGTGAAGAGAAGATAAAATCATGCTCCTAGAGCAGTGGCTCTCAACCTTCCTAATGCCGTGACCCTTTAATACAGTTCCTCATGTTGTGGTGACCCCCAACCATAACATTATTTTTGTTGCTACTTCATAACTATAATTTTGCTACTGTTATGAATCGTAATGTAAATATCTGATATGCAGGATGTATTTTCATTGTTACAAATTGAACATAATTAAAGCATAGTGATTAATCACAAAAACTATATGTAATTATATATGTGTTTTCCAATGGTCTTAGGCGACCTCTGTGAAAGGGTCGTTCAACCCCCAAAGGGGTCGTGACCCACAGGTCGAGAACTGCTGTCCTAGAGGAAAGACACCTGGACCTGTGCATAACCAAAGCTCTCCTTCTTCTCAGAGGATGAAGGTGACTCTGTTTTCAAAGAGGATTCAAGACCTAATTTGATCCAGAACTGGGGAGGAAGTTGGAGGAACTAATGGATAACCTTCTGACTAACCAAATTTAGAAATGATCAAAAGAAAGCATGAATAAGATACCAGAATAAAAGAGTATATTGGGAGAGAATAGCTCTAATGAATAAGAGAAAGGTACCCCAACACTTTAGTTATCTGCCAGAGATAGAGACATTTATCAAGGTCTGGCCAGTAATTTCCTTGTCCTTAGCCCTGCCTTCCTCTTTCTTTCTGAACCTTTCAAATGCAGAGCCTTTACCCTGCAACTCAGGATTGTTTAGTCCATCAGCACATAAAAAACTTGTTCTTCAGAAACTGAAAGTGAGCAATACTGTTTCCTTAGCTGCTATGAATCCAATGGAAGCAAGAACTAGATGAAATATCAGAAGGCCTGTGTTGGAGTCCTGACTCTGTCATGTTCTGGTTGAGTGACCTTATGCCTATTAGTGATCTAACTCATGGCTTCCTTACCTCATTCATTTAACAAATGTTTCCTGAGCGGTCACTGTGTACCAAGCACTAGCCTTGGGCACTAGTGATATAGCAATGAATAAAATAGATCCTGCTCTAATGGAGTTTATGTTCTAGTGAGATTATAATAAGTAATCAATCAATAAGCAATGTAACTTCAAGAAGTAAGCAGTACTGAGGGAGAAATAAAGCAAATAATAAAGTCAAATTAGAAGGAGGGTTCCTATGAAGAGGGTGGGGAGAGGGACTCCTTGAGGCAGTAACATTTGAACCAAGACCTGAATGTACTAGGAGGCAACCAAAGAAAAGAGAATTCCAGGCAGAGGGCCCAGCAAGCCCTGAGGTGAGTCTACGTTTAGGGCTGGATAACAATCAAGGAAAATGGCAGTGGTATGTGGTTGTACTAGATCAATGGTTTTGACACAGCACGCCAAGTAATGCTAGAACTTCCCTGGTTGTGTCTCAGGGGAGGGAGGTGGGGGGTCAGGGGCAGAGGCTCTTACCAGGCTCCCACACTCTGTAGAACACACAGCAACTCCTCCTGAATCTGAAGCATATACTGGGGTGCTGCTTAAGATTTTGCTTGAAGAACATATTCTGTGACCAAAACTTCTTGATCTCAATAGTCCTTCCCTACTTTAATTGTTAGACACTATGAGAATTTATCACACAACCACTGTGATCCCTATAGAAGGTGGACTGAACCTCTGACACCCTGCAAGCCAGTCCCAGGTAGGAAGGGCTGCATGTCTCTGCCTCGTCCTAGTGGACTATGCTGATGTTCTTTCCTTGCACTGTCCGGTTGAGACTCTGTCCTACACAGCAGAGCTTTGTGGAGAGAGCCAAGGAATGGCTCCGGTTTTTTCCAACCTATAAAATGCAAAGTTGGCCAGCTGCCTTTCTTCCTAACCCCAAAACTCATATCTTTCCTTGTCTCCAGAGAACTGTCCGGCAGCTCTCAAATAACTCTCTGCTGTCCTGGGGTTTTGGGAAAAGCGACGCGCAGAATGTGAAATCACTTTCTGGTAACACGAATCTAATTAGCTCTTTGACTGACAAAGGGAAGCAGAGGCCAAGAGGGATTTTAACAATCTGTTTCTCACATATTTAAAAACAAGTGAAGAACCCGGCAGAGAAATGGAGAGAAAGAGGAAATAAGGATATAGAACATTTGGAAAAGGGGTAAGAAAGGGAAGGGGGGCGGGGAGTAGAATATCAAGTGACCAATATATTAATCCTTTCTTCCCCCAACTTCGCCCCGGCTCCCAGCTCCAGTCTCCTCTCTCTCTGAGAGAACTTACTTGAAGGTCGGTGATTTCTCTTTCTGATTCCATCTTGCTTCCCTCAATTGCCTTCGCATGTACCGAGTGCCCTAACAGACTGCGTGGGCGACTCCAGGCTTTGCTGTCTGAGTCTCTACTGCTTCCTTTGGGTGGGAGAGAGCACACAGCTGGCAGGACAGACGTGCTATTCATCCATCTGATGTGGGATGCCTGTGTTAGCCTCAGCCCCTGGGAGAAGTGTACACATGCATACACGTGAGACGGAGCGAGGGGGGGGTGGTGGGAGAGAGAGAGAGAGAGACAGAGATGTGGGATGCCTGTGTTAGCCTCAGCCCCTGGGAGAAGTGTACACATGCATACACGTGAGAGGGAGCGAGGCGGGGGGGTGGTGGGAGAGAGAGAGAGAGAGAGAGAGAGAGTGAAGCCGTACTCTAATGGTGGGGTGCGACACATTGATAGGTGGCCTTTTGAATTGGAGTGGCGGCATCATTTTCTCCAGTGGCTCCAATATCCCTCCAGTCCCAGGGGAGCCACCTGAGGTCACCCAGCCTGCTTTTAGTCAGGAACTTGAAAAACAGCCCGAGGATACTGTCTGACTTCACAATGGTGGCGCTGAGTAGGGTTCCTGAGTAGGGATGACCTCCAGCATTTACCCAAGACTCAGGCTTAGGCACGTCCCCTGTTATCTCCTATGTTCCCTCTATCTTTAAAATATTTTTTAAATTATAGTTTACCCAATGGCCCCAAAGCATAAGGCTTATTCTACAAAGTAAATAAACAACACGTTGTTATTGACAGGTTGGCTGATGCGCTCTCATTTTCTCCCTGGATGAGCGAAAAAGAGAGCAGGAAAAGTAATGCCTTCAAATTCTGTTCATGCAAATAGTTGCGTTTTCCTGGCTTTTAAAGTAAATCTACCAGGAGTGAATCCTTTTGGGGAGAAGGTTTTCTTTCTGGTGTTTATCTCAGAGCCTCAAACTCCTGTGGCTTGTTCCTGAAGCTGGTTTTACACTGCCGCTTGTGTCTGTGTGGGGTGGGTATGCCCCTGAGTGCATGAGGGGGTGGTGTTAAAGGGGAGGGGAGTGATCCAATTCAGAGTTCAAAGGGGGGCGGGCGGGGGGAGAGAAGCAAAGTCACAAATTTACTCTCACCACATCCAAATGTAAAAAACGGGGAATTTCTATTAGATGATATAATGTCTTCATAAGTCCCCACACTGCCAGACAAGTGGTGAGAGGAGGATGGGCTATATTTCAGCGTAGACTAATTTAAGTTATAAACAGTTCAATTTCGACAGAATGGTCAGTCTTTGAGATTTCCACCCATCTCCCCAAAGATGGCATTTAGAAGAACGGTGTGGTTTATGTATGCTTGGTGATGGAGAGGTGATAGCTCTTGGATGTTCCCTGTGGCCTATCTCTGCGAGTTTCTGCTATGGAGCTGCTGGGCTGCCCCCTGAGTTGATGAGTGCTAAGGAGAGACTCAGCCTGCTCCTGGGCCTCCTGCTGGCCTTGGTGGCTGATGTCTGTGGCCAGGATAACTCATGGTACATTCTCTGTCTGCTCTTAAGGATCCAGGGAGGCTCCCTTGTTGACTCTGCCCTATCTTGGCTCCCATGGTGATGTGGACCATCCTGAGATCTGCTGTGATTTGTATGTGCTCCATCCCAGTGGTACCAGCTCAGTGGTCCACCCCCCTAAGATAATTCCCTCTGAAAATCTCCTACCAGACCTTCGGCTAATGCTCCTGTTTCCCTTCAGGTACATGGGGACTGAGAACTGCTGACAGTCCAGGAGAAAGGCAAGCTCAGCTCCACTTCTGGTAAAGAGTTTGCTTTGATGTGGCTGCTCCAGGTTGAGTTGATCTTCCAGACTCCAAAGTGGGAGAAAGATGTTGAGCCTACTCTCAGCATTCCTTCAAAATCCACCTGTGATACCCACCACTCCCATCCCCCATAACCATGCCACTACACAATAAACACCATTCTAAGCACTTTAGTACAACTCGCTTACTTAGTTCTCATAACAGTTCTGAAATGTAGGCAATACTTTTATCCCCGCTGTGCAGATCAGGAAACAGAAAAACAACTTAACATTGCCCAGGCATTCCGATTCAGAGTCCATGCTCTTCTCCACCATTCTGGCTCAGAGAGGAGGGACTGAGACACGTGTTTGAATACCTGCTTTCTCTTCCTTTGCTTTCTGTCTTCCTATAATCCCCACAGTCTAGGCCAGTGATGGCGAACCTTTTGAGCTCGGCGTGTCAGCATTTTGAAAAACCCTAACTTAACTCTGGTGCCGTGTCACATATAGAAATTTTTTGATATTTGCAACCCTAGTAAAACAAAGACTTACATTTTTGATATTGATTTTATATATTTAAATGCCATTTAATAAAGAAAAATCAATAAAAAAATGAGTTCACGTGTCACCTCTGACACGCGTGTCATAAGTTCGCCATCACTGGTCTAGGGTCAGAAAAGGTGGACTTTGTTTTCTTTCTCTTCCTGTTTGACTAGGATGTGCCTTGTGAGGAACTCTATGATAACAATTCAAAGAAGAAATAAAGAGATTTAGAAAATCCTCATCCTCAACAAACCTGTCTGTCAAAAATATTGTCTTGCTGGAAGGATATATGTATCCTAATGATAAGTACATTCGTTTTAAAAGAAAAAGCTGTGATTCACTATAATAATAGTTTTAGTTTGGCAAGATCTTTCTGGATTTAGACCTTTCCCCACCTTATATGCATCATTTGGAAGTAAGTAGCAAACAGGATTTGGAAAGTATTTTATCTACTGTGACTCTGGATCAGGTGTCAGCAAATTTTTTCTGCAAAGGATCAGAGAGAATTTTTTTTTTTTTTTACCTTTTTGGGTCATATGGTTTCTGTCTCAACTACTGTACTTAACTCCGCTATTGTAGCATAAAGCATCTGTTGATAATATGTAAACAAATGAGTGTGGCTGTGTTCAATAAAACTTGATTTACAAAAACAGCAGAGCAGATTTGACCCCACGGGTCATAGTCTGCTGAATTTTGTTCTAGAATATGAGCAAAAAGAGAATCTAGAGTTCTAAATATCACAACCATGTCCAGTCTTCTAGATCATGTCTTTCGAATCTAGTCCCCACTTGCGAGGTAACAGCTGAGCCCCCTACTGCAAGGATAATATGTTAAACACTATGGGGATATGAAATCACAAAATGCATGCCCTTGTGAGACACATACCTGGAAAGTTAATCTAGAGTGAAGAGTGCTTCTGACATTTGGCTGTAATACTGAAACTATAGCTACATGAAGGCTATTCAATCTAGATGGGAAAGTTTACAGTGTGAAGTTTAAGGGACAGTTTTAGGGAAACTGTCTCTTGGGAAGGATTTTTTTAGAACATGCTTGAACTTACAGATAAGTAAACACCCAGAGCCACTCAGGCAGTGGTCACGGAATGGGGACCTACAATGGGCCCCTACGGGTGACTTGCTATGTAGAGGTGCAAATTGCTGTAGGGCACTGAAGAAGCCAGCGGTGAGAAGATCTCTCAATGCTGAACAGTGAGAAGAGCCCTACAGTGGAAACCAGATGGCCTGGTGCCTGTGTGTGCTGGATCACTGTGTTCTTAGGCAAGTCACTGAACTTCTCTGGATATTCTCCTTTGTGAAAAGTGAAGCTGTCCAAAAAGATGATTTCTAAGATCCCTTCAACTCTTAAATTTTGTTTCTAATGTGTGTTTATATTAAACACTTCCTGTGTAACAGTATAAGATCTCAGATACAGGTCTGAATTTTAGTATGTAAAAGTTAAGGATTCCTAGTGGAATATTTATGTAATTAGAAAAATTTTAAGAAAAGTTACCCCTGTTACCTCTGCTAGTCAAGACGGGGCAGGACAGATGCACGACAAACAAGATACCAGAGTGAGAATAAAGGCATACTTCAGGAAATGCTTGCAAACTCATGTATGCTCATTTACATATTCATTCAGCCACTTCCCAACTCACTGCCCCAGGAATCCCAGGCCCAGAAGGAAAGGGAAAATTTGGGAGAGGGAGCTACCAGTGCAGGGCCTGATGAGGGGCCCAGGTTGGCCAAATGGATAATTAAGAGATTGGGTGACTCTAGCACTGTCCAATAGAACTTTCTCTCTAATGAACTAACTGTTCAGTATAGCAGCCATTAGCCACATGTAGGGATTGAACACTGGAAATGTGGCTAATATGACTGAGGATCTGAATTTAAAATTTTATTTAATTTAAATATATTTACATTTAAATAGCAAGTAGCTACCATATTGGGCAGTGGAGCTCTAGACCAAAATTCAGTATATTTAAAACACTGAGCAAAAAAGAGAAAGAGGGAAAAAGAGAGAGAGAGGGAGAGAGAACTCATAGACATGGAGAACAGTGTGGTGATTGCAGGGGTGGCGGGGAAGTGGGTGGAGGGGAAGTGTTGGAGGTGGAAGAGGGGATAAATGGTGATGCGAAAAAAGGAAAATAAAATAAAGGAAAATAAACATTGCTGAACTGTGGTCATCACTTATTTAATACTCCCACCCTGGCTGCTCATCTCTTGATAGATTTTCATTAGACAAAAGTCTGATTTGACATAAATAGGAACTCGGGTCACACAGCCCTCATGGGAATGCCCCCTGAGACCCGGGGATGCTCTTGGTTGTGGTAAGTAAAATTCCCCTTCGGTCTTTTGCACTCAGGGTAGGGGGATTTTAACTGTGACTCACTATTCAATAAATGATTAATAACAGAGCCTTGTCATGTTGATAGGGAACACTTCTCACCTCTCACCTCTGTGATGAAGTTAAAAGGTGCCTGGCACTCCTTTGGTGGCTTAAGGGATTGAGAGGGGTGATAGACGATCTCTTCTTAATAAGAGAGACATCAGTGGTTTTCAAAGTTTTTAAAGCAAGGGGTTCCTTTTTAAAAAAAATGCGATCTTATGCAGAAGTTAACATAAAGCAGATTAAAGTGAAACTGATAGGACCTGGAGTCACGTTCCACCCTCTATTTATCAAGCTACCCCTTAAGGCACCTCTTGGGAATTCCTGGAATTCTGAGCAGGTGACTTGGTTTACGGGCCTCTAAGGGCCTTGGGTGTGTTAGGGCTGAGCAATCACAAGTCATACAAAATTGCGTGGCTTTTTTCAAGTCTTGAAATGACATATTGAACAATAAAGAAGACATGAAAAGCACAGTCAAAATTGTGACCACTGATCCCAGCAGCAGATGGGATGCTGGCCCACAAGGCCTTTTTTTATTGACGGTGTTCCGCAGTGAAGGCTAAGTCTCACTGTTGCACCTTTTCCCAGAGAGCACAAAGGACTCCAGGTTGGAATGTGGGGAAGATGAAGGCTGGAAGGTGCCGTGGGGAATGGGTACAGGGCTGCAAAACTGGCGGGAAGAGGCGGGGAGGTGGGGGATGGGGGATGATGGTGGTGGTGGTGGTGGTGAATCACACAGCACAACAGTAGAGTTCTTAGTAGAGTATGGAAATCAGAGCTCTGAAAAAAACCTCAGAGATGGAGGTACCGGTCTAACCACTCCGTCTTATAGTTGACAGAGGAAGCTTAGTGGTGAAGGTGGATTAGAGAATTAGTAGGTAAGTGTCCTGGTTATCCTTTTAATCACATGGATGTATACATGTGAGTGTGTGTGCATGTGTTCATGGAAGACAACTAATATGGGAATAGTTGCTTATAATTTCAAAATACTTTGTACATATTTTATTTTATTTGACACAATGACCCAGTTGCAATTTACAAATGAGGAAACTAAAACCGAAGTGATTTGCCAAGATCATGCAGCTACTAGGTGATAGAGCCGGGACTCAATTCAATATTTCTTCTTTTCAATTCTTTTTCTTTTTTTCCACATGCTACTGTTTAACATATACCCTCAACCCCTGCCACACACTCAGACACAAATCCTATCATTATTGCTACTTGTGCAGTGGAGCTAAACCAGTGTTGATGACAGTAACTCATTATCAACCAAGAAAGACCTACTTTTGACTTCTGGTCCTGCTATTTACTAGTTGTGTGTGAGTGTGTGTGTGTCTGTGTGTGTGTTTTAAAATAGACTTTATTTTATAGATCAGTTTTAGGTTCACAGCAAAATAAAGCACACAGTACAGAGATTTTCCACATATCCCTGACCCTACACATGCACAGCCTCCCCCACTAGCAATACTGGGCACCAGAGTGATACAGTTGTTATAATCGGTGCATCTACACCAAGATATCACTGTCACCTGAAGTTCATGTATACATTAGGGTTCACTCCTGTTGTAAACACTATGGTATTTGACTAGCTGTGTTTTTGAGCAAGTTACTTTTTGCTTCCTTTCCCCCTGTAAAAATGGGGATCATAAAATCTAACTTGTAAAGATCACTGTGAAATGAAACTAAATCAGATCATGGTTGTAAAGCGATTACCTGCCTTGCACAGAGTAATAAGAACACATTAAATGGAGCTAATATGAGCTTTCATATGAAGGTCATCAGTTAAGGTCATAAGCCTAGCTGTAAAACCTTCCTGAGTCTTTTTCTTGTTCTCCTTTAGCTCAGTCCAGACCCTCTCTGGTCTATACTAACATAATTCAGCCAGAGATGAGTTTTAGAAGTTTCTTAAATATATTTGTCCACAAAGATTTACTGTGCTACTGAGAGAAACTTAAGTTGTAAGTTTGGTTCTTAGAAGAGGAAGGGTTAGGTGAAGCAGGGATAAAATGCATGGACATTTACCAAACCCTCAAGTTGGGCCACAGGACAAGAAGGTTCTGATGGGATGACTTGCCACAAGAAACAGAAGGGGGAGAAAAAGTGCAGAAGGGGAAAAAAAATCAGAGTATGGGAGAGAGCTGCTGCTTGAGCTACTGTGAATGTGAAATAAATAAATGTTCTCAATGAAAGTTTACCAAAGGAGACCTCTAATACTGCAAACTATAGACTATGCAAACCGAATAAGCCTGCATACTTATACCCACTTCTCC